TTCCTCTGATGGGCAAGGTCCTTCTGCTGCCCGTATTTGCCACTACTCTCGGGAACCCGGGCATATTCAACCCTTTTGTAAGAAGAGAAATTGGTGCAATTACTGTAAACAGTCCGGTCACATCCTGAGTGATTGTCGCCAACGTGGTCGACGTCGTCCTCGTTCTTCAGGCCCTCCTGCTCCTGCTTCTGCCTTTGCTACTGCCGAGGTGTCCTCTGGGGCTTCTTCCTCCTCAACTTCTAACATCTCCAAGTCGGATCTCACCAACCTTCTTCATGAGGCTATCCAAGATGTTATGAGCACCGCCTTTGCTACAGGTGATCCCACAGGTAACTCTCGTACTTGGCTCCTTGACTCCGCGGCCTTCAATCACATGACCAGCCGCTGTGGGTCCTTCTCCACTCTTAAACCGGCCTCACGCCAGTTACAAGTTGCTAATGGGGCAGTTCTTCCAGTACCATCATTGGCTCGGTGTCTGAACCCCAGCTCCATCTTTCGGACACTCTTCATGTTCCCCGCTTGGTTCCCAACTTAATTACTGTTGGCCAGCTAGTCGAGGATGGATGTGAAATTCTCTTTAACAATAATGGATGTATGGTGCAGGACCTGATGACGGGGAGGGAGCTCGGTCGGGGGCATAAAGCTGGGCGTGTCTATGTGTTGGACTCGCTGCACTTGAAGGATCATTTGGGAGTCTCTCGCACTGGTCATGGGATCTCAGCTGGAGGTGTCTCGGCTGGAGGAGCTTCGAGTGCTGTCTTAGGGGGTTCTGTCTCTGCTTTTAATTCTGGTTTTTCTGTTAGGAATAAATCTGGTTCTGATGTACGGAATTCAGTTTGGGATTTGTGGCACTGCCGGTTGGGGCACCCTCATGATACTCGTTTGTTACAAATGTTTAAACTTCAGTTACTGCCGGTGGAATTTAATCCTGGCTCATTTTCTCCTCCTCCGTGTTTGAGTTGTATTGAGGCTAAGGCTTCCCGGATTTTTTTCTCCTCTAGCACTACCTCGTATTCTGCTCCATTTGATCTGGTTCACACGGATCTATGTGGTCCCGCTCCTACTCCCTCTCGAAATGGCTTCTTGTATTTTGCTCTCTTCATTGATCACTATAGCAGGTATACGTGGATATACTTTCTTAAGCACAAGTCTGAGCTCCGTGATCATGCTTAGGCTTTTGTTAAGATGATTCAAACCCAGTTTCAGAAGACAGTCAAGGTCATTCGTTCTGATCCGGGAGGAGAGTTCAGTTCAAATGAGCTCCTTCAGTTCTATAGCTCGGCTGGTATTATCTCTCAACAGTCCTGTCCTGGGGTGTCGGAACAGAATGGAGTGGTGGAGAGAAAAAACCGCCACGTTATGGAACTCACCCGCGCTCTCCTGTTTAGATCTGGTGTTCCGGCTCACTTCTGGGTGGAGGCCGCTAACACTGTTGTTCATCTTATCAATCGGCAGGTCACTCTGGTCCTGGATGGTGTTTCTCCATTTTTATACACTCTATGATCGTCATCCTCGTTATGACCGTCTTCGGGTGTTTGGATGCCTTTGCTTTGTTCTTTTGCCACGCCGAGAACGCAACAAACTGGCGCCTAAGACAGTTCGTTGTGTATTCGTCGGCTATAGTGATCGCTTCAAAGGTTACCTCTGTTATGATCCTATTAGTCGCCGGCTCCAGGTTGCCTGCCATGTCCTGTTCATGGAACATGTCCCGTTCTATGCCCTGAAGACGTCTTCGGACCGGGCTGCCTTTGAACAAAGCCTGGCATTTCTGGCCTCTTTTTCGTCAACTTCACTGTCTCCTGGTGGGGTGGCTAGTGAGAGTGAGGTAAATGCTTTGTCATCTTCTGCTTCCTCCTCAAGTTCCTCTTCATCCAGTGACTCATCGGGACCATCATCACCAAATTCATCGTTCCATACCATGCATTCCATGCACTCTGCTACCGCTAGCTCTACTGCCTCGTCCGCTACAACTAATGGATCCGATGAGGAAATGGTGCCGCATGATGAGACTCCTCCGCAGAAACAACTCCGTCGATCAGATCGTGTGACAAAAAGGCCAGCCACCCCGACGTCTCAACGACTATGTTGGCTACTCCATTGATCCTATTTTTGTCCCGACCAACTATCGTCAGGCGCGAGGCATTCCTGAATGGGATGCCGCAATGGTGGAAGAAACAGATGCCTTAGAAGCCAACTAAACATGGGAACTTGTGCCTCGTACTCCTGAGATGTCAGTAGTTGGCAGTAAGTGGGTATATGATGTGAAGATGAGGCCAGATGGTAATATTGAACGTCATAAGGCGAGAGTTGTAGCACAGGGATTCAGTCAGGCATATGGAATCGACTACGAGGAGACATTTGCACCAGTAGCGAAGATCCAAACTGTACGATGTGTTCTTGCAGTTGCTACAATGAAAGACTGGCCTCTTGTGCAATTGGACATGAAAAATGCTTTTCTACACGGTGACCTTAAGGAGACCATTTACATGGCTCGTCCACCTGGCTACACTAAAGGTGATGCCAGTATGGTATGCCGTCTGAAGCGGTCCTTGTATGGTCTCAAACAGGCTCCTCGCGTTTGGTTTGAGGAATTTCATGGTACAATTGTACAGGCTGGCTTCTCTCAAAGCCAGAATGATCCTTCCTTATTTCTGCGTTGTACAACACATGGTATTACAGTGTTACTTCTATATGTGGATGATATGATTATTTCAGGAGATGACCATTTAGGGATTAATGAACTCACCGAGTCTCTTCATCAAGCCTTTAAGCTCAAGGAACTCGGCGATGCTTCATATTTTCTGGGGCTGGAAATAGAAAGGAGCAAACATGGTATTTTGGTTAGTCAATCGAAAGTATATTAGGGACTTCCTAGTAGAATATCAGTTTGAGAACTGTAAACCATGCTCCACTCCGATGGAACAGAACTTGAAACTCAGCAGAGCTAGCGGGGATTTGCTCGATGACCAGACCTTATACCGGACGATAGTTGGATCGCTCAGATATCTTAGCTCTACGAGACCAGATATTGCATACGCGGTACAGGTTGTGAGTCAGTTCATGGGGATGGCACGTACTATGCATTTGGATGCGGTTCACAGGATCTTGAGGTATCTGCAGGGAACTCAGGACATTGGTCTCTTCTTCCCAGCCATAGGAGAGCCCACACTTGAAGCATTTGCCAATGCTGACTTTGGAGGCGGCTTGGACACGCGTAGGCCAACATCTGGGTGGTGTGTGCAGTGTGGCAGCTCATTTATATCATGGAGATGTAAGAAACAGGATCGAGTCTCTAAATCTTCCACCGAAGCAGAGTACAGATCTATGTCAGAAGTCAGTTCTGAATTGGTGTGACTGCAGCGCCTCCTAGGTGAGGTGGGTGTCGAGTGCAAGCTGCCTATGAAGCTGTTCGGGGATAATACAAGTGCTATTCGGATTGCAACCAATCCAGTCTTGCATGATCGAACGAAGCATATTGAGACGCATGTTCATTACATTAGACAACTGGTGTCAGAGGGAGTCACTCAGCTCAGTTATTTGTCAACAGAGGATCAGACTGCAGATCTGTTGACCAAGGCAGTTGGAACCAGCCGTCATTGGTTTCTGTCTAACAAATTGATGTTGCGTAAGCATCATCAATTTGAGGGAGGGTGTTGAAATTGTTATAATTACTTAGTTTGGGTAACTTATTGTAATCATCATTTTACGTAAGTTAACCTAAACTAGGTAGGACTAGGTGTACACGTGAGCTGTAACCTAGCTATATATATATATCCCTCATCTTGTATCGTAAAACCTAAGCTGAATAAGATTGACTATGGAGAGTTCTACCTCTCCCGTGGAATAGTCCTGATTTTCAGGGAAACCACGTAAATCATGTGTTCACGTTATTTAATTTGAGTTCTTATCAGTTGGCACGACCTAACCTGGCACGACCTAACCTGGGTGAGTATTACTCGTTCCGCAATAGTGTGGAGCGGGATATGGATATTGTTTTCGATCTGCCCCACCCCATCTTGCCCTGTTCTATCATGATTTGCATAAATGTTTATATTTGGCCCGACTTTTAGAAGTGTTTTTCGATTTCAAAAGCTGAAGCAAGATCAAACATCTCTAAAAGCTCGGCTTTTGAAAAGGTGAAAAGTGTTTTTGTATAACATAAAAGTAAAAGCTCCGATTTGGAGCTTCTGCGAAAAGCTGTTTTGAAAATACAAAATTATTCTTACAATATTTTAATTTTATTTCAAAAATATAACTCTATTTCATTTATATCATTTTAAAAATTAAATAAATTATAAAATCATATTATTTAATATAAAAGAAGTCTAACAAGATCCATTTTGACTACTTTTTATTGTTTATGGTTTTTATTTATATTTTCTGAAATAAAATTAAAATATGGTAAGGATAATCTTGTATTTTCAAAACAGTTTTTCGCATAAGCTCCAAATCGGAGCTTCTACTTTTATGTTATACAAAAGCGCTTTTCTGCTTTTATGTTATACAAAAGTCGAAAAGCACTTCTAAAAGCCTGGTTAAACATAGGCGATGACTACTTTAACTTTGGGCCAATAACTCTTCAAGTCTTGGCCCTTCGTATGTGCCTTAGCCGAGCCCACTGATGTTTTGAGGCCCAAAACTTTCTTCCTCTCTCTCGCTGGGGTTCTTTTTTTCCTCTGAAGCGAGTTTGGCTGCGTTTTTCCGTTTCCGTGACTCTAATCATTCCGCGACAGGTGGTGGCATGGCAGAGGGTTGACTTTTCTTTCTACAGAACAAGACTGAGAGAAAAGTCTATTGGCAAGTTTTTAGTTTTGTGGGCTTTTTCCATTGTTCTCAAACCGGATTACATTGCCGGTTAGGGAAGTGAAATGGCTCGGGTTCGACCGGTGTTACAATTGATTTGTATCGATTTAACAAAGTATATAGAAATTTTAAAAAATTATTAACATCAAATGAATTTAATCAATATAAAAATCATATTTGAAGACAGCTTACTTATAATTCATATTCATATTTGATTAAAATACGATATTGCAAACAAAATAATAAATACTCATATTTAAATGCAACAGTTAACATCAATACATGAATATTTATATTTGAATTAAAAAAAATTTCAATATTTTTAACTTTTAAACTCACAAAATAAATAATAAATTAATTTTGTATTAATTAAATATACTAAAACGACGTAAGCTGTTTACAAGTCGTAAATCAATCGTGCCGATCATATCATTAATTTTCATGCCGATTTCATGACCGGTATCGGTTAAACCTCCCCACCGGCATGACACAACCATGGTTTTTTTTTTCCCTCGCAAGATGTTAGGTGTGCGTGTTAGGTATTGGGATAAATGTTTATGTTTATATATTATGGGGTTTTTATTATGGCCAAGAACGATTTCCTATCCCATGTCCCCTCGCAGAACCCCAATCCCCACTGCTCTCGCAGATCAAAATTCTTATTTCTAGTCAACCTCCTTTGGCTCCTCCGGCCAGCTCCGATCAGGTCTTCTCTAGCCCGTCGCCGGCGTCTCCTCGTCTTCATCTCCTTGCTGTCCAGATCTGACTTGGTGGTCCGGTTTCTCTTCCAGTCGTCGCCCATTGACGCTCTTTCTCAGGTGACTCCCTCGTCTTCTCGCTGCCGACGTTCGCCTTTGTCTCCTGTCATCCTCTTCCATCTACATTTTTCACGCCGCCGTCGCCCAGCTCTGCCTTTTTCCGGCCGCGAGTCGTCGTCTATTTCCACAACCACCGATCGTTATCAATTCGGCCTGTTTTCTCCTCTTATGGTTGGACTTTCTACGGGCCGCGGGTCACCTCCTGTCTACCCACTCGTTGCGTAATCAGCTTATTTGCCCTTTTTCTTGTGGTGGTCCAAATTCGTCTGTTCTTCAGCTACCTCTGTCCTGCTTGGCCATCCGCCTCCCCAATTTCCAGTTTCAAGCTCCCCCGATATTTTGATTTTAGCTCCAACATTCTGCTCTTTTGACTCTGCTTTGGCTTCTCAACGATTCTTCTATTTTCCAGCTGATCGTGCTCCACAGGTGCTTCGACCCACATTGGTTAACTGGAGTCTGAATTTACGTTAGCGTGTCATTTGATTTCTGGGAGTAGTCATTGAGAGTCCTTGGATTGTTTGTGTTCTTCGAGACTTCGTTGACATTCAGAAAGTTCTGTCAGTTAATGAATTCTCTTGATTTCCTGAAAAAGTTTACTCGTTTAGCTGGTCAACTTGAAACTTCTGTTACTGAATGTCAGGGCATTTTTTCTGTTTGATTCTCCTGTGCAGTGAAGCTTTTTTGTCTTTTCCTTCTTTGTTGCCTGAATTGTGTCGGTCATTAGGAATTTTCAGAAGAGGTTACATCACATTGTCATTCTTGATCAAGATGTGTTGGATTGATTTGCTGATGAAGTCTGATTCTTGTTTTTACCACTCATTACTTTTAGAAAGTTTCAATACATTCATTTGTATGTTTCACCAAAACTGATATTCCTTTTTCCCTACCTACAGAGGGAGGCGACTGATGCGGAAGACAGGCAGTTAAGCTGCTTCTGACTGTTCAACAAATTGATCAACCCTGCCATGGTGAGCTTGCGAAGGCGGAGACTGTTGGGGCTGTGCAGTGGTATGTAGTGTGCTTTGAGATCGACAGATTGTTCTTCAGAAAGCATGTTCTTATGCACTCTGTGGTTTGCAGTCTGTAACTGGGATGCATGTTCAATGTTGGGAGATCATCTTTATTGTTGGCATTTTAACAGCAATACCTATTATGATCAATGTCGCTTAACATACCCGACTAGTATCTCTTCCAATTGCTTGGCTCATTGCAGGAGGGAGTTCATTTGTGACTCCACTTCCTCAAGCAGCTGTCCCTGTAAGCTCTGTACCAAGTGCCAAGTCGGTTAATATCAGGCCTGCCCCATCAGATGAAGCCAATCTATCAGCTGAGGTAAGATTCGCTTTTAAAATGCTCAGTCAGTATCAAGCACTGCTGGCATGGAAGAAGCACTATTTCAAGCTGTTTTATGTTATGTATATATAGTATGTACCAAATGTATTTTTGCATATACATATTTCTAAAGGTGTTTTAATTGTATTCCAGAAGATTTATGCCTTATGTGGACCTGCTTCGTCGAATGTGTCACTTCACAGTTCAGCAAAGGAGCAGCAGCAGCAGCCCTGTTCAGGTTGGTCGAGGTGGTTTAATACATATTATGCATTTCAGTTAAATAATCCAACAGCTATCTGGACAGTGTTGCCTGCTGGTTAATAACTTCTGTTTACCTCATTTTAGCTACATGACATTGGTAGGATTTGTCAATGCCCCCATATTGTCATCTTGGTGTATGTTGAAATGCTTTTGTAGGTAGCCAATGAATTAGGTGTTATTCTTAACATACAAATGAAGCAACCTTGTAGAAAATGTGAATGATACCATAAACTACCTGGCAATTAGGGAGAAAGGTTACATGCCATGGCTAATACAAACAGGCTGATGATAATGCTGATTAAAGAGACCTGGGGAGGAACGGACTCCTTCACACTGTAATTGAATAGGTCATGGTAGAGGATAGTTAAACCCTCAACCAAAGTCTTAAGGTGCCACTTCGGTCAAGGTGGCCTTTGTGAGATATGTTATTTCTCACCTTGGCATAGTGACAAGAAAAGCTGACTGGACAAAGAGCATATATATTGGAGAGGCCTCTTCATTAGTCAGTAACTTGGTGCGCCATGGTTCCACTGGAAAGTCATCGTTTTATATATAAAAAATGGTGGCACCGTAACCTGTATTTCTTTGTTGCCTGGAGAAAATGTTCTTAGAGCTTCCTCCCTAGAGTACCCCCTCCCCCCGGTGCCTGTTTCCTTAGCTCTATTCCTATAGGAAAGAAACAATCTTGTGAACTTAGCTGTTTGTCTTATTCTCCTAGTGATCTTCTGAGTCCTGGTATACTGGTTATCTTTCTATTTGCAGACCAACCAATTAAGAGGAGAAAGCGACACAGAAGAAAGCATGTTCAAAATCAAGAACCGTGTGTGATGCGGGGTGTTTATTTCAAGAACATGAAATGGCAGGCAGCAATTAAAGTTGACAAGAAGCAAATCCACCTGGGGACGGTTGGTTCCCAAGAAGAAGCTGCTCGTTTATATGACAGGTAAATCTGAACACAGCAATGATCATGGCAGCGTTATTGACCATCTTGATGCGCTATGTTTACATAAGAAGCTGTGTTTTCTTTCTATATATATTCGACAAATTCAGGGCTGCTTTCATGTGTGGGAGGGAGCCTAACTTTGAGCTCTCAGAAGAGGAGAAGCAAGAGCTTCGGGAATTCAAGTGGGACGAGTTCTTAGCGATTACACGGAGTGCAATCACCAACAAAAGTAAAAAAAATCATTCAGCATTTTTGACATGTTTATTAATCTTTTTTTCATCGAACGGTGCTCTGGCTGATTCTTGCAATGTGGTGTGTGTGTGTGTTGGTCCATGCAGAGCACAAGAGAGGTGTGATGAGAAGGATTGGAGGTGTGATGCAGAGGATATCGCCGGAGGCTGCATCACAGAACAGTGAGTGGGATGGAAAGCAAGAGATGGATGATGGTCTGTCTGGTTCAGAAGAAGTGGAGGCTGATTCATCAGCCTCTTAGGACGACCCAAAATAAAGAGTCTGATATTCAGAGCTAGTGATGCATCCCCCTCGGCTGCTTCCAGTTCTAGTTTTCTGGGTTCTGAGCCCACATTAGGGCATTATGGGTTGATGGCGGTAGAGTATAATGTTATTAATCAGATAGCTTTATTCTTCTTTGGCAAGTTAATGGAATAAAATTAAATGGACAATTAGACAAGACTACTAGGCAAAATGCAGATATTTAAACTGCATGCCCGCCAACAACAGTATATATATATATAGGCAGATACATATGTACTTAATAGTTGCACTCTCAGATAACGATTCAACAGAACAAGAGATGAGGCTTATAGTTCCCATTTTTTCAAGCAGATAATATTTGTCGCCAACATATTTGTGCATTTTTGCCATACAATCATTTTATTTAAATTTCTTTGTTAATGTTTGCCGACATAATTGATTGCACCTTTCACTTCTACGAATCTAAATATGGTTCACACCTCTTTAAACAAAGTTAGAATGAGAGTGTTTGATAATTTGAATGGCTTTTAGAACAAGTTAAGTTAGCTTACTCCTGCTTCTATCGATGTATTATGAGAGCTCCAGATATTAAAAACTACAATTAACACTACATTGCGGAGAAAATATAAAGTTTGACATGAGGTGTCAAATGTTGGTTTTGGGAACCCCCTTCATGTATTCGTTGCTCCTATTTATAGCCATCAGATGTAACGACACTGATAATCACTAGCTGCCCAGTTGCTCCAACCGCCTCGGGATCCTCATCGCCTTGGTAACCACTAACCATCGTCTTGGTGTGTACTCACACCACCTTGGGGACCCCTCATCCCATCTTGATAAGGGTTCAAGTTTGTGTTGAGTTGATTTTCATCAAAGTCTTACTGCCATGTCCTGAGTAGAAGGGGTTGAAACCTCTTTGTCTTTTCTCCATCGCATTTCCCCTTTCCACCGGAAGATCCCTAATATATACTGGTGAGACCACACTTATTCTCTTCGCTCCCTCGTTTTGCCAGTTACGTCAATGAGACAGTCTTGTTAGCTAAGCCTTGTTACCCATCTTGGAGGGATGAGAACTTAACCCCATCCACATAAGTACCTACCCCCTAGCTAACAAGCAAGCACATATAGTCTTAGAGAGCTCGTCATGGTATCAACTTGTCTTCTTAGTACACAACCCGTCACATTGGCTTGACACCCTACAACCTTGCCGATAAGCTCGTCTTACCAGTTTGTGAGCAAATCCATCTCGCCGCGCGTGATATACAACCATCTTGTTGCCAAACTCGTTTCCAAGTCCCTCTTATCAACTTGATACCTTCCGACTCGATGCTCTCTCAACTAGTCACTTTAGTACCAAGTTTAGCTCATCTGCTTGGTCTCGATACTTAGCTTTTTGGATGACCATCGAGGGGAGTTGGGCGCCAAGTCCGCCTCATCAAGTTAGCACCTTGATGCCATGCCGGCATACCTCTGTCATCAACTTGATAAATTTTCATCTTGCCACCAAGCCCGTCATTTGTTTTCGTATCTTGAACATAAATGTAATTATAAACGCGTAGCCTTATCCCCAATTTTTTCAAAATATAAAATTAAACCCACAGACTGTCCTCTATTCCTATCATATTCTAACACACGATTTTATCATAAAGAGTTTCATCACTTTTCCTGATTCTTTTCTCTTACATGATCTTAAGAATTATTATTATTGTGTTAAAAATGATAAACTATTTTATGTTTGATTAAAAGGACTTTTGCTGTAGCTTAAACTGGTCAAATATTTACTTATTTGTAAAAAAAATTAGTTTGTAATTATTAAGTTAATTTAATTTTGAAGGGGACACCCCTATATAAAATTCATGTGTCTACTACTGCAGCTTGATATGTTGCCTGTCTTGCCGATTAGTATGTAATTCGGTTTCAGTTCAATTCGATTTGAAAGACTTAACCCGAACCGGATGCCCACCCTACTCCTCTCTGCACCAAAAAGGGCCTAAATGCAGAGTGGGATTGTTTGCCAGATGGCTAAGCCGAAGAATTTAATGCAGTTCGTCAGGAAAGGGGCATCACTGCATTTAATTCCTGCCATCCCCATCCTCAACTGGTAACCACTCCCTCTCCCCCCATTTCCCATTCTCCTCCCCTCCATCAAAGAAAAATAGACGCAAACCGATTAACCCAATAAGCCCATTTCTCTGTTCCTCCCCACCCTTCCTTCCCTTCCCATTTTTCCTTGCTCTGCAACATCTCTGCTCCATAGATGGCTGATAATAGTAACAGCAACAGCAACAACAACGATGCAGCTCTTCGTGGCAGTCTCATCGCGCTGGCTGCAGTCATGGCGGCGGTGGGCATCTGGACACACTCCATGAGGAAAGTTGGAGTTACTTACATGGTGGGTATGCTTGGGATCGCGGGCATTCTTCTTCCCGATTGGGATTACTTCGACAGAGATTACTCTCGCTGGTTCTATCCCGTCACTGAACAGGAGAAGCTGGCTCTCTCCAGACGATCTGGCCTCAGGTAATTGAGTGAAAAACTATGGTGATTGTTTGTGTTAAAAATGTGGTATAAGATTCATTGTTAAATCTGTCTACGACAATCCATGCTATTGGAAATTTGGTTATTGAGATATGATATTAGAGTTCCCATATAATCGAGAGATCTTTCCTGTTGGCTTTCATTCAAGAGGGCGTGTTAACATGTTGAAAAAAATGAGAATTCGATTACCTAACTTTTACTATTTTGATACGAAATATAACTCTGTCAAGTTACCTAACAGTACTCGTAGTACTATTTGTACGGTTCATATGCTTAATATGGAATTGTTTTGAACAGGAGCAGGACTTACCCTCTTAGACTGATCGGTTACAGCATTGTTTACGGCTATGGTTTTTACAAGTGGTGGAAATTTGTATCCAGCTGAATTTGCTTTGGATCAGCGACTTTGATGATTCGATTGATTAATTTTCTTGTCAAGAACTAGATGTGAGGGGCTAACTGTGAAAATTGCAGTGGTAGTTCTTGAAGAAGAACAGCAGTGGAAAAAAAGTGTCCTTCAGTTTTATGGACAGCATCAATCCTACGGCATTTGCCCTCTTCATTTAAGTTGCTTACGTTTTCCAGCTAATATGTATGAAGTTTGTCATGCTTTATTTTGTTTGGCTTTGGCCCATAGTTTGGTTGGTTTCAATTGTTCAGCAGCAAATGGTAGGTGACGCAGTAATGTTGGGGCAGAATGTTAGGGATGGGTTCTTCTTCTCAGTATAACTGAAATGGACAATTTGGTTTATGGGGCAATTTCTCAAGAAATAAACTTGTACAATTGGTGGTTCAGGGAATTTTTGTTTATTCGTTTTGACATTAACTAGCTTACAAGCCTAACCTTTTAGGAATGATTTTTAGGTATAGGATAGGATGTAGAACGTTTGGTTATTCATAAATTAGGTCTAGTCTCTTAGTTTGTAATAGAATTAGAAGCAACGGTGACATTACAAAAATGATTAATTTTCCTATTTTTTGAGTTAATTTTTTAGTTTGATCCGAACTTTACACTAATTAACTACTTTAACTACAAATTTCTAAAAATATTATCATGTTCGAAATTCCAAACTAACTGGACCAATTTGGCCCAACACCTTGAATTGACCTTTAATAAAATAAAATAAAAATTGAAAACAAAAATCTTATAATTGAATTTCCTTGTTATTTGAAATATAAAAAAAAAAAAATTTTTTTGACAAAAGATAATCTTATATATATATTAGAAAAAAGGCAATTACATCCTGGAATGAAGCCAGGTCACAAAATCAAAGAACCGACTTGCAGATGGGTACATTTGAAGGGCCTTTCGAGCCACCAAGTGGGCTACCCTATTATTACGCCGACCTACAAACCGGACACTAAACCCTTGCTGGTTAGATAAGCAATGCAGGACCTCCTCGAGAAGAGCGCCTATCCGGCTATCGCGGACCTCAGCTCTGGAGAGTTTCTCAATAATCACCCGAGCATCCCCTTCAAAACGTACCTCCCCCAATCCTGCCTCAGTACACCAATGAATAGCATCGCGGAGCGTGAGCATCTCAACAATCAAAGGGTCATCAATGACACCAAACTGAACACCCCTCGCCCCTACCACCAACCCGACTGGCGACAGGATAACCATCCCTCCCGCCGAATGGGAATTACGTCTGGTAGCGCCATCCCACCGACAAATGAATGACCCAGAGTTGGCCGTATCCAGCGACAGATTAGTCCTAGCAGAGGTACAAGGTTGTGCCCCATCCCTGGGCAGGTTAATCCACTCCTGCAACCGCTGATTAAATTGACGCATAAGAGCTGGGATCTCAAATTGTTTGCCCTCAAAAACTACCCAATTACGAGATCGCCAGATCCGCCAAAGGACAGCAACAACTGCCATCAGGAGATGAGGGTGCTGAATACACATCAATAGTTTTTTCAGGAATAGAGGAAACGTCTGCCGAGGAAGGCCTTGACCAAGTTATTTGACTTGCTCCTACTGTCACTCTAGAAATTGGCCAAGTGAAACCACTTCCTAAAGCGTAGTATAGCGGGTTTGGGTTTTAATGTCAACCCGGGTCCTAGATTTGATGACTACTCGGTGAATTCTTGTTATCTAGCAATGAAACTTTAGTGCAAGTCTAAACTAACAAACAAGCAAAGCAAGTAAACGGTTGTTTCAGGTTAAGAGAGGTCACCCGGATATGGTTCCCCCTAGACTGCAGTTAAGCCGGATTGCAATTACCAAGTTCAGTTTCTATGATAGTTATACTGCGGAAGGTTCTTAAACAGCCTGAAGTCTCGACTAAAGGTCTTCAGACCCTCTCAATCTGAGTCTCTAGCGGGCGACTAACCTCCACCGGAGTAAACAGATTGAGGCCCTAACGAACAAAACCTCCACTACCGAAGTGAATTCGGTACAGAATAGTGAGTTGGCTCCTCGACTAAAGTCACCAACTCCCTACCTTCAATCAAGGATGCTCTATCAACCTAGGCAGATATTCTCATTCTAGGTTAAAGCAGAAACAACAGGAATTTGATCAGGATTCATGCCATTCAATCATTCAAACCTCAATTTAATATAATCAAATCGTAGAATTAGTACTTGGGTTCATACAATCAAACCTAACATACAAATCTAGGGTTCTCCATACCCAGATGAATGGGAGAACTACTCCATGGAGAAAGAAGCAAAAGCAGAATCAGACGCGGAATTCATACTGTGAAGGATGTATTCCTGCTCCTGGACGTTGATCGGCACTTCTCCAAGCTCAAGCCAAGCTCCAATGGTGATGAAGATCAAGCTAGGGCACTTGGAGACTCTTGTTCGTCGCTTTCTCTCTAAAACTCGAATCCCCTTGATCTTTGGCCTTCTTTTCCTTTAAAACAGCTGCCTGTCGCGATACCCGGCCGAAATACCCGGTCGGGTATTTTAGGTCTCGACCGGGTATTATTAAAACGCACGTTTCATGCCAGGGGAAAATCCCCGGTCTGCTCCAATAATCCCCGGTCGGGGATTTAAGCTTCACGACCGGGCCCCCCTCTGTTTCTCACGGGTGCCCAAAATGATAAATACCGGGTCGGGTATTTTGCCACCTAACCGGGTATTTTCCTCCTGCAACCCACTTCTTCCCAACTTTGCTCCTTTCGACCCAGAACTCGTTCCCTCGCCTCGATTCCAACGCCGGGTCCTGAAATATGACATAAACACACAACCTCGCGTGAAATCGGCTTAAACACGAGAGTCAACCTCTCAAACGGCTCAAGAATAGGGGTAAAAACATGTGTAATTATTGGTCTATCAGTATTCCAGCCCCGCATAGTCCCACAAAGCCCTAGCCACTGGACATTCGAGGAATAGATGCTCCATAGTCTCCGACTCCGCCCAGCAAACTAGGCACCAAGGATGAACTGGAACTTCCTTCTCAATTAGCGCTTCAGTTGTAGGGAGGAGCCTATTCAGAATTTGCCAGAGAAAAATGCGCAACTTAGGAGGAATAGGGGCATTCCAGACTCTAATCCAGCTAGAGCGATCCATCCAACTAATTGTTGATCGCCACTGGCCGTCTTTTTTGTCCATTCGAACAACCAGATGATAAGCCGATTTTACTGTAAAAACCCCATCTGGCCTCATATGCCAGATCAGCCGATCCTCAATATTTCTGCGAGGAAGAGGAATCTCCCTAACCGCTTGACAAGTAGGGGGATCAAACCATTGGCTTAGCCTCTCGTCACACCAACGCCCTTCCCCTGAAACAATTAACTCAGCCACCACCGGGTGTCCCCCATTAGTCAAAACGCGAGGATTAGGAACGGGGTTGTGCGGGTGCAGTCGAGGGATCCAACTATTCTCCAACAGAGGGGCGGCTTGACCATTCCCAATTTGCCACCGGAGGCCTTGCACTAGCAATTGACGACCAAAGAGAATGCTTTGCTAGCCCCACGATGGGCGAGATCTAGCCGTTGCTTGTAAAAAGTCCCCCCTGGGGAAATATTTCCCTTTATACACCTGGGCCAGCAAGGAGGTGGGCTCATTTAAGATCCTCCATCCAACCTTAGCCAGTAGCGCTTGATTGAAATGTTCAAAACGACGAAATCCCATCCCCCCATCATGCTTACTTCTGCACATGTTACGCCAAGACATCCAAGGGATTTTAGACTCCCCATTCTCCACTCCCCACCAAAATCTGGCCACATGTCTATCCAATAAACGACACAACGAAAGAGGGAGACGAAAATAGGACATAACATGTAAGGGTAGAGCTAAAGCCACCGCCTTGATCAGGGTTTCTTTCGCAGCCCAGAACAAGGTTCGTTGCTTCCACCCCTGCAGGCGAGCCAAGAGCTTTTCCTCCAGGTACCTGTACGTATCCATTTTGGATCGGGCTATCAGGGTAGGTAGGCCGAGGTATTTATCATGGACCCCCACGGCCCCCACACCGAGGATTTGAGCAAGGAATTATTGATCCTGGAGGACAATATTACGGCTAAAACAAACCGCCGATTTATCCAAATTAACCCGCTGGCCGCTAAGCTCCTCATATTCGTTAAGCACCAGAATCAAGTTTTCTCATTCTTGAAGAGATCCCCGGAGGAACAGGTACGAATCATCAGCGAAAACAGATGCGAGATCCGAGGAGACCTAGGGGCAACCTTGACTCCCTCCAATTTATTTTCCGGTATAGCTTTTCTGAGCAGGGCTGCAAACCCTTCAGTGCACAGTACAAACAGGAGCGGAGATAACGGATCACCCTGCCGGAGCCCTCTCGAGGCGGCAAAAAATCCCTTCGGAGAGCCATTCATTAAAGCAGAAAATGAACTCGATCGGAGACATTCATGGATCCACCCTTGCCACGTAGCATTAAACCCTAACTTATCCAGAATCGCCAGGAGAAACGGCCATTCGACCCCATCATAGGCCTTTTCCATGTCAACCTTAAGAGCCATGTACCCTTTATTTCCTCGCGTTTTGGTTTTTAAGTAATGCATAAGTTCGTGTCCAAGAAGGACATTTTCCACGATCTGGCGGTCACGAATGAAGGCATTTTTCCCTTCCGAAACAATACGGGGTAACCATCTAGCCAGGCGCTCTGCCATAATTTTGGTGATGATCTTGTACACAAACTGACAGAGGCTGATGGGACGGAGCTGCTTCATATTCTCCACATTGTCAACCTTCGGGATCAAGGTCAACCAAGTATGATTGAAGCTGCGTAACATTCTTCCAGTGGAAAAGAAAGAGCTCACAGCAGCTATGACAGACTCGCCAACAATGTTCCAGAAGGATTTAAAGAACTTTCCCGTAAAGCCATCAGACCCTGGCGCTTGCTTCGATCCCATTGAGAAGACCGTCTTTCTTACTTCCTCTGGAAGGACCACTGCCGTGAGGTTGGCATTCATCTCCTCCGTGACCCGCCGGTCGATTGGTAATGCTTCCACTCGGTTTCTCATGTTAGGCACTTGGCATTCTGAGGAGAAGAGATTTTGATAGAAACTCGTGGCAATGTCTGCTTTACCCCCCTCCTTAGTGATCCACTCCCCCGCGTCATTTCGAAGGCCCGCCACAAAATTACGTTTCCGGTGAGTCTTAGTGACCGTGTGAAAATAAGCCGAGTTCTTGTCCCCTTTTTTTAATTAGTGGACCCTCGATTTTTGTTGCCAGTAAACTTCCTCCGCTTCCCATTGCCTGCTTAACTCAGATTCTAGCGTTTGCACAGTCTTCCAGTCAATTGGGAGAATTAATTTGACACGATCTATTTCCGCCTGGATCGTCTTAATATTGCGGAGGAAATTAGTAGTACCCGCCCTGCTCCAATCATAAAAATAAAACAAATTGATTTCCTTCTAACTCAGATCATTATTCTCAATTCCCTTCCCCTTATCATCATCCAACTCTCTTAGCTGAGCTCCACTTGTTGAATCGGATCAGAGTGGAAACAAATATCTAAGGACTTAGCAACTTCATTTTATTAGCTTGTTTTTCTTTTCCGATGTACCAAAAATATGTTAATGCAAAGTTCAGGCAAAAATGAGTTATTAACCTTTACTTTTTTAATCAGCATGTATTCTCTTTGTTCTAACCCAAAATTTAAAATTTTCTGCACAAATGGAATGAGTTCAATGTAATCTACAAAATGATATTCGTTGTTTATATATTTTGAGAAAATCAATCTCTATCACCGATTACCACTAGTTAATTACCCTGATTCACTATATACCACCTTCATTTTAAAAATCAACTTTTGAAAAATTTAGTACACATAAGAACCGAGACCGGTTTCATCGTGATTTATTAATTTACAAATTTGTAAAAAAAGGCAAATATACCATTACGGTGTATGGTGATAACTGGTGGTAGATGGTGTTGAAAGGTGGTAAATGATAGTTAGTATATTCATACTATCATATATACATCCATTCTACAATATGATATATTCATGCTATCACCATACACTTCCATACCACCAAGATTGGTTCATTTAAGGTAATTTGTGATTCATTTTGCATCCGTTCAATGACACTCTCCACTATCAGAATGATAGACTTGTGATATCATAAGCTCTATTTGATTATTTTGATAAACTAATTCATTAATTTCTAAGACCAGCCATAACTTATTAATTGCTTTGATTGCTTATTTATTCTCTAACAATAAGTCAATAGTTAACAACTTGATTTTTACCATTTCACAATAAAACAACTAACGGGTAAATTGCAAGATTGGTCACTGGAAGTACTAAAAAATTCGCGTTTGGTCATTAAAAGTATTTTATTCCATTCATGGTCACTAAAAGTAGTCTTCTGTTCAAATTTGGTCACTCTCCGTTAGCCTCCGCTAAGTGTAGGTTTAGCTGATGTAGCGGTCAATTCAGATAGTTGACCGTTAAATAAGTGACGTGGCAATTCAGAAAGAATTCGACGAGCAAGCTGCACCAAAAGAGAGTTTTCCAAACTGAAAACTTGCAAAAAACGGAGGCAATCAAATCAATCAAAGGAAATCAATGCCAATGGTCAACAAGAAGACTATATAATAAGAAGACCTCAGTCGAGCAAATGATATCAGGGAAGAACACTAGTTCTTTGCGGGTTTCAATTCAAGTTGAAAAGGCAGTGTCGACCGTTGCCCCCAACGGCGTCGTTCCGAAAAGCAAACACAGAAGTTGGAGTGATGTCGTTTCTGGCAAAGTTCCAATTAGTCCCTGATGTTTCTATTTTAGTTTCTTTCCGTTTTGGCTATGTACTTGCTTAAGACACAAGTATTGTCTACTTCCCCAATCTGTCTGTATGTTGAACAAGCCAGCTATATAAGCTGAAGATCAATGAAACAAACTAAGCTATTTTCTCTCCAACCCTAAAAGGTTGACATGGTATCAGAGCCTCAATCCTAGCCGCCACCACCAACAACAATGGCTGCTGCAACACAATCTGTAGCAACAACTGAAGCATCACCACCCACCCCTTCCAATGTCGACCCAATGTCTGACCCCTTCTACCTCCATGGATCTGAGCAACCTGGCCTCCAGCTCGTTGTAGAAAAGCTCAACCCCACCAACTACAACGACCGGAGCAAAGCCTTCCACAATGCCCTGGGTGCAAAGAACAAACTGGGGTTTGTAGATGGCTCCATTCCAGATCCAGGACAAGGACATGCCACAGCATGGGCATGGATCAGAAACAACATCATGGTCCTTTCCTGGATCCAGCAAGGTGTTGATCCTGGCATACGAAAGACAATCATGTCCTGCAAGACAACCATGGAAGCTTGGAGAAGCCTGCGTGACAGGTAGGGATGTCAATTCAATCCGTAACCATGGGTACCCAACCCGAACGTAACCGGTCAACGAGGGTAATTACCCGCTTTGATGGGTTAAGGGGCGGGTACGGGTAATACCCGATTTCAAAATAAAGGGTAGGGTATGGGTATGGTAATCGATAATACCCGCCCCGTTATACCCGCCCCGCTAACCAAAGGGTCAATTTCCCTTGAGAAATTTAGTTTAGCTTGAGAAATTGAGTTTAGCTACTATTATTGATGATGAAGATGTGGACGATTATTATGTTTGTGTGGATTGTAGAAGCAAGAACAATTATTATGTGTTTGCTGTTTTTATTTGTGTGGATTGTTGAAGCTAGAACAGTTTCAAGTATTGAGAAATTTTAATGGACAACAATATGTATGTGCATATATGTGTATAATTTCATAGTTTAGGATTCGTACCCATGGTTACCCGAATACCCGTGGTTACCCGGTGGGTAGGGTATGGTTATATAATTTTCATACCCAATGGTTATATGATCGGATATTTTAGAAGGCTCTACCCTGCGGGTTAGGAGTTGGTATAGGGTAAACCCGCACCCGGCCCTACCCGTTGCCATCCCTAGTGATAGGTATGGCCAAGGTGACATGGTCAGAATTGCTGAAATCATTGAGTCCATCTGCAACCTGAAAAAAGGCCAAGGTGACATGGTCAGAATTGCTGAAATCATTGAGTCCATCTGCAACCTGAAATAATGTAACCTATCTGTCACTGAGTATTATGGAAATCTCATAGCTCTAAGGGATGAACTTGACAACTACCAGCCCATAGAGCCTTGTGCGTGCTCTACAAACAGCCACAACACTTGTAGAACTATGCAACTGGTTCTAAGGTACAGAGACACAAACTATGTTATCCAATTCCTACGAGACCTGAATGACAACTTCACAAATGTAAGGTCACAGGTTCTGTTTGGTGAGGCTTTACCACCCATTGATCGTGTTTTTCAACGCATGTTGCAACACGAGGGACAACTTTCTGGTTCCCAGACAGGGAAAACTCTATACTGCTGAAGGCATGGCTTTTGCTGCTCAAGGAAACCCAAACTATCTTGGCAGAAAACCCAGATCCTACTGCACCTTTTGCAAGTTCACAGGACATACAGAGGATACCTGCTACCACAAGCATGGCTGGCCTCCTGGTATAAGCAACTCAAAAGCACTAGCTCCTCCAAGCAGGCTATTGGAATTCACACACTGCAAAAAACAAGGCCACATTGAGGACAAATGCTTCCAGAAGCATGGCTATCCTTAAAGGCCTGGCTAAAGGGCAAGGTATCTGTTAATGCCACAAGCACAAGCACATACAATGATGAAGTCAGATTAACTAAGGCTGAATATGAAAAATTCCTCCACATCATGATGGAAAAGGAAATGGTAAGGTCCAGCCAAGTTTGGGCCCTTCTTTCTCTGCTGCTACACGGACTACTACTAATCCCAACACCTCAGGTAAATTTACCTTAGCTGCTTTTTTCATGATTCCTCTGATCAGCTTGCTTGGATACTTGACACTGGTGCTTCAGATCACAATGTGTGTTCTCTGAAATACCTGGTTCAGCCTAGAAGGATCCCCAACATTCCCATAACCCTACCTACAGGCTACAGGTGCTTCAGATCACATTGTGATGTCATTTCTTTCACAATATTTCTCTAGATAAAACAACGTTGTTGTTAAACTCCGTATCATTATCAAACCTGAAACAGTGTCGTTTATAGTGGAACACACTTGCAAATTACTAAACAGCTCGCGTACACATCATCATTCTCAGAACTCGCTCGCTGCAAAAAAACCACACGGCGGAGTCAATGGACTCACACCATAGTTTTTCATGGTGCATCAATGCCACTTGGTGTTGCGGTGCTGTTGATCATGAGCCAAACCAAGTAACCAACTAAGGTATGCAAATCCTACTACCCCAAACAACTCATGATTAGTTGGGCTGGCCAATCTAAAGCCAATTAGATGCTCAGATTAAACAACGTTAAGTTTAATTTAGGCCAAAAATATTTTAGCAGCAAACAGTAGTCAAACCTGGTTACAAGAATGTGGGTTGAGAGGTCTTGCTAGAAAGTAAAGTTCACATATTGAGAGAACTTCTTGGTTAATCGTCCTCTAGTTTTTCCAACAAGATACCAAGCGTTCAAGAGTTTTCTAAAATCGCACTTTTACCTGCATTGAAAACTATTCAATTTAATTTTCCGCTTATCTATACAATTGCATTAAGATATTGCGTAAAACATATTGATACATTTTCACTGTCAATGAACTATAAATGATGCGTTTGTTGACCATTGCTCCATTCGTTTGGTGAAATTCATCATTGCATCGTGCCATACATAATCCGAGTAACTACAAATTTCAACATCCAGGAGAGAAGAAACCATATTTTTCAGCTCTTGCAATCTACTCCTCAAACCCCCCATAAAATTTCAACTCTTTACGTGTACAGTTCAGAAAGCAAATGGCAGAGTATGAAAGCAAAGTGGTCAGGACTAAGCTCCTGTGTCCTGTACATTCCTTTCACAGCTAGTATGAATTCAGCTAACAGGTGAGGCTACCGACTCTGCCAGTTCCTCCAGCAGCTCCTTCTGCTCCATAGCTGCACAAGCCTGCAAACAAACAGTTTCATTCTCCGCGAATATACGAAAGTGTATCCTTCTAGTGCTGTTATTACTGAATCCAGTAGATGTAACCAATCTTGTTACCAATGGGACTCGACAAGTTATAATGAAGCAGAGAACAACAATTGAATAGGAGCAAGACTGGAGGTTTGGAAGGGAGAACCTGTACTGCATCCTCTATTGCTCCGTTAAGGAAAGAAGTCAGCTCATAGTTCATCTTTAACCGGTGATCAGTTACCCGATTGTCCTGATTCATCAATAGTCACGCAAATGTCCATAAATGATTAAAGAGTAGACATATAAACTCGTACTTATAGGTAATCAGAGACACAAACTCAACTACATGTAAATGAAGCAAAAATTTGTGATGTCAATCAATAACATGTCCACCCCAAAAAAAAAGAAGTAAACACATCTTATTGATGAAAGCTCCCTGTTCCATGGCAGAAATGAAGGATGGAAGAGCCATTTTTCCACACTAGATCAGCTCATGGGGGGCAAAGACAAAGCAAACAAGATGCAGGATAAGTCACATACCTTGTAGTTGTATGTGCGAATCTTCTCAGCACGAGCACCAGTACCAACCTACATGACAAGACATTCATTACGGGGAACGTATCTAAAATGTATTCCTATAGTCCAATCAGTGACCGTAGAATAGTCACAATAATTAGACCTAAAAGTCAAATATTTGGTTTCTATCTAATGAAAATCTTAGTAAACCGTAAAATGTAAACCATTTAGGAAAAATTAAATGGTCAAGATAATAACTTGCATCACCAACTTCATTATTTATATATCAAAAGGATCATAGAAGGTTCCTACCTCAATATCAAGTTAAGAACCTAAGTAATTTGGTTTATACACGATCCTTCCGTTAATTTAACTAGAGATATACCTAAAACAAAAGCATGAATCATGAACACAAACATGGGTCGTCTGCTTATTGGATCTGAAAATGAGGGTTTTGAGTTTTGAAAACCTTCTGATTTATGACGAATTGTTGTATTATAGATTTGAACTAGTCCATTGTTTGTTAATCGATTTTTTATCATTGATTTATAGCGTTTCACACCGTGGGTCACACATATTTGCCATCCCTCAACCAAATCCCAAATAAAAGGCGGGATTCACAAATCCGTAGGGTCCACAGATTTGGCTTCCAATTTTTTGACCTAACAAACAAAGGAGTACATCATCTTGGGATTTGGCTGGCAAATTCATCCCAAATTCAACAAGCATTGAAGTATTGGAAATGTATTAGAAAACTATAGACTGTGGAGCTAAAAAGTATTAGAACCATTAACCTTGTCTGCTCTAAGTATGCATTAAAGATCCCATATGAACCCAGAGTAACATGTACCTGTAATTTTCTCTGACTCCTAATCTTCTCTTGCTGCTCCCTTAATTGAATCTCGTACCTGAACAGATGTTCAGAAGTATAGAAGTCAAGGAAACTAAGCCTGGAGACCAACCAAATTAGAGTAAACTACTAATGTGTTCCTTTGTACAATTCCTAGTATTGCTCACTTGCAAACAATCAAGATAAGAAACTCACAGTTTTGCACGCAGAAGCTGGAAGGCGCGGTGTTTATTCTGCATTTGTGACCTTTCTTCGGTACAAAAGATGCGGATTCCTGTTGGTTTGTGAACAAGATCTACAGCTGTCTCCACCTTGTTGACATTTTGCCCTGCAGGACCAACAAACATTTAAGATACAATGCAGAGATGACTGGTGATTACATGAAAGATTCGAAAAATGGGTAACTTAGATATAGTGTTTGGTGCAACATAATCATTTAACGATTTCTAAAGTGACCATTTGGCAGAAACACTATAGCTAAAGTGACCATTTTGACCAATTCTCCAGTAAAACGGATGACAGCTTGGCATGACAGATGACGTCTATCCAACTTATAAGTTCAGCAAGTGATGCTTCATACCTCCAGAGCCACCAGATCTTGCTGTCGAAAGCTCAATATCTTTTGGATCAATCACCACCTCAACTTCATCCACCTGCACTAGTTAACACAAAAGTTAAGGATCCATGTAAGAGATGACCAATACAAATGAGTATTAAAACGACCATCAGAGGACCAGCCACAGTAAATGACTTGCTACAGCATATTTGGAACTTTAAAGTCCATATTGAGAAGTTTAAAGTGCCGCTAGGAACTTTAAAGTCCATATTGAGAAGTTTAAAATGGCCACTAGGCACATAAGAACAATGGCTAAGGTCTGTTTACTGATAAAGCAATCAGTATTCAGTTACATGTAGAAACTTCCAACAACAAAATGATCAGTCTCCATGCTTCGTTCACAATGGACTAGTGTAACAGAAGCAGTAATGATAACTTCTTCACAGAAGAGAAACCTAGAAAAAGGTAGCTCGGATCAACATTGATGTATGTCAAAGAATCCACCAGATATGCAATAGAGCTTTAACTCAGACCCGACACATGGGTGCGGCAACCGACAAGAATGCACCTAATACATTAGATAACAGGGATAGTTACTACCATCTGCAAAATGCATGCTAGCCCCTAACAAGAGAAGTCATAATTGCTTCCTCACGGATGATAAACTAGCCGAAATTGTTGAGTTTGGCATAATCGACGATCATGCAGAATGATAACCATGCTATGTTTATTTGCAACTTTAGAATATAAATGCAACAGACCTCAGGCATGATTGCTACTGTTGCGGTGGATGTGTGGACTCGACCTTGTGTTTCGGTTTGAGGAACACGTTGAACTCGATGGACACCAGATTCATACTTTAATTTGCTATAAACACGCTTTCCCTTGATCTCCATCACATAGGTTTTGAATCCGCCTTTTTCAGCCTAAAAATAACATGAAAGGGTAGTAAAGTCTTTTAAGCAAGATATTGAGGATAAATATTATGGTACATTCGATTTACCTCAGAGCTCGACACAGCGGAGAACCTCCATGAGTTCTGCTCACTATACTTTTCATACATGCGAACCTTCACATCGACATAAGATTGCATTAGTGTGCATTCATTCTACAACGCGAACTCGGAAATGGTTCTACTCGCACTTCACATGCTATAATCAAAGAAACCAAAATATTTCTGTTTCCTTTTTTATCACTTAATCTTGCCCCGAAGGCCAGGTTGGGTTGGATCTAAGAACAAGAAGAAGCATGGATCTGAAAGGAAAATAGGAGCATGTACCTACAAGATCACCAGCCCAAATCCCAGCTTCATCACCACCAGTCCCAGCCCTTACTGCAAGAATGATAAATGGATCCATATTGTCAGAGTAGGGTCTATTATTTAAAGGGTGCAATACTCCCATGCTAGCTGCTCCATTGAGCAGGTGTCTCAAAAGGCATATCAAGAACAGAAAGAACGTCGCCTCACTACCGATTATCCAAGTTCCAACAATAATTCACTGTTTGACGTGAGAATGATAGGATTTTCATAGTCCAGAAGTGTTCGGCACAGGTAAATGGCCATTGTAATGAAACAAACTTCGCATGTGTGATAAACAAAAAGCTCCGCTTATCCTCTTTGCCCATAATGTTTTAAGTTATAAAAACTGACAATTCCACAGTCCAGATAAAACACTCAACTAAACACATATGTCAGGGTCCAAAAGGTTATTACACCTTGATGTATAATTTTAAAAATAGTAAGATGGTGGATCCAAATAAAAAAGAAATTAACCAAGTACCTTCAAGCATTATATTTCTTGCATCGAGCGGATCGCTAGGAAGAAGCATTAACTGTAAGCCAAAAAATACAAAAAAATTGATAAATTAGAGTCTGACTTGCATAGGAATGGAAGTACCAGACAAATTCCGAAACAATACATATATAGAGAAAAAATGGAGGCTAGCACTGCGTTGCCCCTGAAACAGAAGTTTGCAATATCAAGGTAAATTCCATTTATCTTGAACATTCCGATAGTCACCAACTTGCTCAACAAAGTTATACAAGGAGTAACGACGTTCAGCAAGTTAAAGTAAGCTCTAACACGACAATGAAGGCGATTATGAAAAATCTTGACAAACCAGACAAGCAGAAAGATGGAATGTGAAAACCTTAAGCTTTTCCTCGAGCTCTTTGAGTTCCCTAGATAAAGACTCAGTTTCAGATGCTATCATCTCTGCCATATCGTTGTCATCTCCAACCTCTTTTGAGAGAGCTGCCAGAGAGAATGACAAACGTTAGCAAAAAGTTCTCCATCTTATAAAGCTTCAAGAGGAAACACAAGAAAAGTGTATAAAACCTTTTGTCTCTTCTAACTGATTCTCACAATCCTTGAACCTCCTGAATGTCGACACAACCTATGTGCACAGGAAGACAACATGAATCTAAAATTCGAAAAGGGAATGTGTTTAAGTTTAGCATCTAAAACCATCATAGCAAAGGTGCAAAAAACACCCACATCATCAAGCTCTGCCACTGACTGTGCCAATTTTTGGTACTCGCTAGGATTTGAAACAACGTCTGGGTCGGCAAGCTTGACCTGAAACCAAGTTTTCCCAATTATAATCCAAGCTTAACTAAACTGTCAATCTAGGTTTAGCAACAACGTTTCCGGGCTCCAAAAAAAAAAAAACACTTTTGACAGCAATAGCATACCGATAAGTCCTTCCATGTCTTCTCAGCAGATTGAAGCTTTGCTATCAAGAAAGGTTCCTGCAATTCAAAATTAGCTTCAGAAAGCGCCCATTCGCACAGAACACAAACAAACAAGCAAGCACACATATGGGTTCGGACAAGCAGAGAGCAAACCGACCAATGGTTTCCGCAGGCAATTTTCAATTCAGAGAAACCACCCGAATCTTAGAAAAGAGGGGAACCGAACTCACCGCCATGCAAACGATTCTTGGAGTTCTGCGCGCCGGACATGGAGGTCGGAAGAAGGCACAACCGCCAGCGCGTCTTGTTACTGTGAATTTCTCGTGATTATGAAGTATTCGCGCTGTTGAGCTCGTCGTCAGGGTAGCCATGGCGGTAACCGTAACAAGTAGAAGCTAGGGAACGGCTCCTGTGACAGACAGTTGATATTCGAAGATGGAAAACAGGAAATGGAGACTTGAGAAGATAAAATTGAAACGGGCAATCGGATAAGGCTACTTCTTTTCGCCAACACAACGTTTGGGCCTGGGAGTGAGAGACCCGCACCGCAAACTATCTGGTTGTCAACTCGGATTAGCCCGTTTGTCCCGAGTAAATGAATTCAGGGTTAATGACAAGGTTGTTAAACCGGTTTATATCGTCATGTCGATTTAATTAGTATAATGGTTTTACAGGTAGTACAATTAGTTTGTGCCGGTTTATACTAGTTTAACAAACTATATAAAAACCCATTAACATCAACATTTTAATACAACATTTAACGTCAATAAGCAGACGTTTAAAACTTGAATCCAACAAATAACACCAACATTTAACTTTTAAATTCATAAATAATTTTTTAATTAATTAAATTCATTAAAACGAAGTTATTTTACTTAAAATACTTAAATTGATCATGTGGTGTTCATGCTAGTTTCTTGACCGATATTGGTTGAACCAATTTCAACCGACCGACATGCCACCGGCATGACAATCATGGTTAATGATCTGATCGTTTTGACGCGATATAACCTGAATATATGAAAAGTCATTATAATGTTCATATGTTTATATCAAACGGGCAATCGGATATGGCAACTTCTTTCTTTGAATAATCGACAAGACAACGTTTGGGGTAAGAGACCCACACAACAAACTATTTGGTTGTCAACCCAATTTAGCCCGTTTGTTCCGAGTAAGTGGATTGAGAGTTAATGGTTTGATCGTTTTGACTCGATTTAACCTGGATATATCGAGAGTTAATGGTCTGATCGTCCTCACTGATTCATACCACGCAGCTACCGGTAACCTAATCCGAGGTCATTTAGGTCGCTGCCTTACCGTGTACGTGATGAACCTGGGGATTTTCTCCATTACTCGGACAAAGTTAAGAGGCGTTGTGGATAGGTTACAGTTGGTTTGGAACATGGATTTCAGACTTGTCCGCGTGAAGCTAGATTCTCTTTGTGCGATCCAACTACTCAGAGCTCGGAGGCACTATACCACCATCAGGAGGCCATTACTCATAGATTCAGGGAGCTCCTCACTCACCAATGGGAAGTTAATATTTTCTATGTTTTTAGAGAGGAAAATAAGCGTGAGGACCACCTTGCTAGCTGAGTGCATATGTTACCCCTGAGGTGTCATTATATTTCTTGTTCTGATCCTGCTTTGACGTGTTTCATCTTATACGATTGTTTTGGGATCGCTGAATCCCGTTTGATGTTGAATGAAGAGTGGGGTGTTCTGCGTCCATTTATAAAAAATAAAAAAAAGACTAAGAGTGGGAAATTTTCGCGGAGAGAAGAGAGGGGTAATGGAGAAGAGCGAGGGAGATTTTCGGTAGGTTGCCCTCATTTAATTTTCACCCGCCATTTTCCTTATTTAATTCACACATTCCCCATCAGTAGAGCGTATCACCGTCACCGAATCGACATTTACGATTGCAGCTACGGCTAACCAATCAGCACAATCGATAATCGGCTTCGATTGGCCATCCAGACACTTATCAACTGCCGATTAACCACAAAATCGGTTCGGTTAAAGTTGCAACCAAACCGACTTTCACCCCTAGACTTCTGTATCCCCGTTGAAGTCGTTTATAATCTTTGCTTCTTTTTAAGTACTGGTTACGGTGTCGTTTCGCAGGGTCGCGTTTTAGTTTGGCTGTTGCAGTGAACGCCACTTCCGTGGCCGTCTGTCTGAATTTTAACAGAAGTGCAGAACTGCAAAGCCTCGGCTTCTTCTCTCTCAATCTCTCTCGCCGGAGAAATTTCAGGTAGCTGACACTTGGAATTATGGCCAGGTCGTTTTCGAGCTCCGGTAGCTTGTTCAGGCTTCCAGGCCTTCTCAGGTGGACTCATGCCTTCTCTTCTTCTTCTTTCCTAGTCGATGACGATTAGGGTTTTCTTGCTCTGGTATTATGAACGCCGCTGGCCGTCTTCACCTTAGAATTCAGAAATTCTGACGAGCATTTATCTCTTGACGCTCATGTCTACTGATATCCATTTTTGTTTCTGTTTATGTCATGGTCTATTTCCCCTGTCTCGCAGGCAGCTGGAGCAAGAGGTGGAAACGGTGGTCAAGGTGCTGCAGCCTGGGCCACTCGGGATAATCGAGCACAAATTCTCAAACGAGGAGATACGCGAAGCAGATGCTACTGTCCGACGGGCCGTCGAGAACTGGCGAAGGAATGCTAACCTTGAGCAGAACAATCTCAAGGATTTTATTCAGAAATGATTTCTCCTTGCGTAGTTGTTTTCTGTAAGCTCTAGTCAGTGTCTCTGTTTGATTACTTGGCAGTCTTGATTCTCGTCTGAGAAATTCAATAGTTGTCAGCAAAAAATTATGTGTGGTGATGGATGCAAATCCTGGAATTCTCGTCTATTGACGGTTTTGTGTACGCTTGTGAATGACAAAGTTGAATCGTTAATGGATTTATGTTAATGGAGTAATTCTCAGATCTTTTGTCCTTCTGGGTCATCATTTTTGCTGGGAATGGGATGCTGATGTTTCCATTCTCCCTAAACTATAGAAGATGGTTTATTCTGTTGCTTCCATAATATCCATAGCAAAGAGGGACTTGGAAAAGAAAGTGAAGAAGAAGAGAGACAAGAAAAGTAGGGTGTTTTTCTTTTTGTGTGTGAGGGGGGTGGGTGGTTACTAGTGCTCATTGTTTTGCATCTACAGAATCGAACAGATGTTTCTCAATGCAGTGGTGTTTGTGGGATGCTTAGAAACATGAGGAAATCAGCTCAAATAAAGACAGAGTTGGCTGAGAATGACATGACAGACATTGGGAATTTCTTATCACATAATTTTGCAGGTGGATGATTGCATCTGGGATATGTGATATCTGTACATACACCCAAGCAAGATAAGATGTAGTCTTTACTTTGTTCTCATTGCTTTTATGCTGGAGTGTTTATCTTTTTTCTTTTGGTTTGTGCTTGTTGTTAACACCCGAAAATGGTTGTGCAAGTGACACGTTCATTTGATGTGGTTGCTTGCCTTTGCCAACTGATCCCTCTTCCATCAAGGAATATATATATATGGATTAGAAAGTTTCATTATCATCATCAATCATTCTTCATTCTTTGCTTCACAGCTTGATCAGTGTCCCGTTAGCTTTAATTCAATTACCCGTCAAAAGTTGCATTTCTGTGCTTTAGTTTTATTCTTCATCAGGATAGTAGCGGTAATTATCTTAGAATGTAGGCTGATTTGTGGATATCATTGAACCCATATAGATATTCTAGCTGGCTTGCCTTCTGACGATCGGTTACAAAGTAGCTCTTCCATTATCTGCAGCCAGATATCTTCTTTATTTGATATTTTATCTGTTACAGTAGAAAATATCACAGTGTGTTTATTGAACAGAGAAGATCACAGTCCTGCCATCCTGAAAAAAGACAGTTCAAAGAGCAGAGCCTCGGTATGGAACTAAACCCAGGCTCTTTATCATCCCTTTGCTTATTTAACGCTTTTGTTGAACTCACGAGACAGAATTATGATTTAAATTCTTTTTCCCCAGAATTTAAGAATCTACTTCAAAGCCACATGGCACCAGCTTCCATGAGCATTGGAACAAGTCGGTTCTGGAGGTGGAGGTTCATCACCTGCTTCTCACTGCCGATCAACTTTTGACCGATGAAGACAGCTGGCACACTGGGTCGGCAACCTAGCTGGACCAGTGCCCCCTCGATCTGGGAACCATTGGGGATTTGATCCAGCTCGTAGATTTGTGGGTTCGTTCCAAACCCGGAGACGAGTGTAGTGATGGAATGGCTCATGCAGCAAGAGCTCTTAGTGAAGATTACCAGTGGTTTGTCTTTCACTAACCTGTCCACCATTTCCATTGCCTTCTTGAAATGATCGATGAAGTTATAGTTCAGGAAGTGCTCTGAATGAACGCGAGGAAAGGCGATTAGAGAGAATTAATGTGTTGGAGAAGGGCTTTGGTTCGATGTGGAAGTGTTGAATTGTGAATTCCATGGAGACCTATTTATACTAGCTATTTCGAAAGGGTGTTTGTTGTCTTATGATATGGTGGTGCAGTTTAACATTCTTACATTACAATAATGATTGGAAAAGGTTCTGCATAAGATTCCCTTATTTTTATCATGCTAATTGATAGCGAGAGATAGCTACTTGTAAGACAGGAATCAGATATCTGGTCCTGAATGGTGGATAGGTTATATACCTCACACTATTTCGCATCTGACTTCCAGGATTAAGTTTTTGTATCATGCAACTAAGGGACTCTTTTTTCAGGAGAAGAGCATTAATCCTGCACCAGGCCAGCTTCCTGCGAATTGTGAGCATAGTTCTCAGTTGAGCGGAGAGCAGTGTAGAAGTCCTACTCGACGTTGGACTGGGAGCAGAAGTTTGCTGGTAAACATTTTTCTTTCATGCACAGTTCAATGCTATCTTATGATCAAAGAAAGTGTGGAAAGGGGAAACATTGTGATCTGTGCTGCGTCTCCACCTGTAGGTTCTTTCAACATCATGGAGGCTCTGTTCTATCTATTATGAGCATCTTCTGAGTTGGAGAAAGGGTTTGGGTTTATCCAATTCTGCCTCAACTTTACTTATATTCGTTTGTCAGGAAAGAATCCCAGATGATCATAATGGGATAAGAGACACAAAAGCCTGCCGAAAGCTCGATGGTGTCTTTCAAAAAGATGAAATTTGGAAGATGGGGAAAATATCCACCTGCATGCATATGGACAGGGATGAGAACCCAATTCATGGCCAACAAGTGTTCAACAACGTACACATTTTATTGGACAGGCGTTTTCAACCCCCTCGTCAATCAATTAGTTCCATTATCACTTCGGCAATTTATATACTATATATGGTCACTTTGATGGGGAAAATGTGTGTATGTGCTATCAGAAGGGTTGTTTCTACGTTTAACGCCTCTTCAAACAATATTTTATTGAAAACGATTTCAAACCAGTGATGGCAATTTGAATCCACCTCGCGGATATTATCCGACTTGATCTGCGATGGGCGGGTATTACCCGACCCGCAGTAGTGTGGGTTGGGACATGGATATATACTTTCGACCTGCTCTGTCCCGTTTCGTTGTTGACTCATTTTATCTCAATTTTTTATCGTATCTATATATATTTCTTCTATTTTTACTTTTATTCAACTATTTAGAGTCGATCCTTCAACTTGTTAAACTCAATTACTCATTCTATTTTAATTATATTACATTCATAATGTGTTTTCCCTTTTGTTTTGTCGTAAAAAGTAAAATTTGCGTGCATACATTTCAAATAAGAGTGGGCCGACCCGTCCCGTACCCGCGCGAGTTTTACCCTCTCCCGACTAGTAGTAGCGTGGAGCGGGACATGAATATTGAGGTACCCGTCCTGCCTCATTACTATCACTACGAACAATATTCGAACAAAATTGTTTGATATATGAAAAATCTATGTTATGTTATACTAATTCTATGGAGAATTTTTTTTTTTTTGGTTATGGAAGGAGAACTCTTATAGAGGAAAAAGATGAAGAAATATGTGAGGCAAGTTGTGTCCCCTTCCCACTAATTTGCTTCAAACTTTTGTACGAAGAGTTACGCACAACACTTCCTCACTCACCTTCTAAAACGTAGTTTGAGTTGGTTGTCATTGTAACCATGCGTCACGTACTCGGGATAGTCGTCATTCAACATTATTGCTTACGATTCGATTGTTATTTGAAGATGTTTCTTGACATGTTACTGTGTCATTGTAATCATCCACCATGTTATCATGTCAAAGTGAATGACAATTATGAGATTGGATGATAACATTCAATTAGGCTATGGATGATAACATTCAATTAGGCTATGGATGATATCCATGCTATGAGGTGCCACCATCCATCTAGTATTTGGGATGATATCCATGTTGAGATTGGATGGCATTATCCACATACAGTTAGATGTTAACCAAAGAGAATCTTGATGCATCAACCTAGCGACTGGATGGTACCATCAATCTAAGGATTGGACAGTTACCATGATATCATCCACTTAAGGATAGAGATGATAACGGATTAGGTTAGGGCGGATAATACATATTCATTATCCTATCTAAAATAGTTTGGGTTTTATTCATGCCCATATCCATATAAGAAATCGAGTAGATATCAAATACTAACATATCTTATTGAGTTTTGGGTATCCATAGTTATCCCTGAATAATATTTTTTTATTACTTCAACAAACATGTTAACAATTACATGTATAATATTACATAAGTGAAAAGCACTACAATAAATTACTAGAATGAAGATAATTAGTTAACAACAATACAATTGCAACAAAATATTATATATGTATATAAATATCAAATATGGTAAGAAAAATAATGATAATTTTAAACAAAATACATATGAATGTGTACAATCGGGTGGGTTCGGATTGGATAGTGATAAAGCCATGCACACTAATCACCAGGAATAACCGGATTTAGATTCTACCTAGGGGTGGAAATCGGTACGGTATCAGTATCCCAATACCAAATAGCGAAATCCCGAATACCAAATTACACCCTAAAGTCAATCCCAATCTCAATCTCTAAATAATTTCGGTATCCCAATTCCAACCCCTAAATATTTTGGTATCCCAATCAGTACTTCGGTATCCCAATCGGTATTATCGAATATAAAATTAATTACCTTTGCATTTAATAATTAAATATATAAATTAGATTTTATTGTTTAATTTAGGGAGAAAAGACTAAGCAAAGTGTCTTGAATTAGGATATTATTAAGGAGAATGGAGGAGAGGAGACATCTCAAGTTCTTGAAATTGGTAATCGTTAATTTGACGAATTGGAGGTTGAGAGACGACTATTAATAGTGATAGAATGATCTATGTATAATTAAATGACACTCTTGGTGAGTTAGGGTCATGTAGTAGTGAATGAGAAAGTCTAGTTGAGAGGATAAAATACACACTAGCTTATATTTTGGTATTTCGGTATATACTGATCCCAATCCAGTAATCCCTAATACCAAATAACAATTGAAATTCAATCCCAATCCCAATCCCAAGAAATAATACGTGTATTTCGGTAATACATAATATAGACAAATTCGATACGGTATTCGGTATATCCCAAATATCGGTACCAAACTTCCAGCCCTAGACTTATACCCATGCCCATTAAAAATCATTCGGGTTCGGGTTTAACACCTATCCAATTAGGTCGGATTTGGTCTGATATCCACGTGTATGGTTAATTTTGCCATCCCTACAAAAGATTGGATGATATCTATAGGGTTAGATGGGTGGTAACATGGACACAATGGTTGGTGATGTGCTGTAGTACGCAATCAAAGTAATAATCCTAGATATGTATAGGATCATATTCCACAAGGTCTTCTAATAACATCCAATTTACAACTGATCATCTAATGCTCAAATGCAATGTATATATAAGATAAAATCAACAAGTTGAGGTGTCCTACTTTCAGTTGGTCGTCGAGTTATAAGATGAACAAGTAAAGATAAATAAACAAGTAAAGATAAATAGATAGATATAATACAAACAAGTAAAGATAAATAGATAGATATAATACGATAACTATGTTTATGTAGCTTCATCTAGATGATCATGCATACTATTCTTATGATCTTATCCATGAGATGCATGCACGCATCAAATCTATTATGATATCGTATCCCTTCCACAGTTCCACTAAAACATTCTAAACCAAACTTTCGCCACATGCTGAGGAACTATAACTAGTTAATCCGTGCTTTTGCTTCATGCCACTAGCCAATCAATCATAACAAGGAAGTAAGGATAACACATTGCTATTTAGGGTCTCTATGAACCATATATCATTGGTCCTTGGCTTTGGTATCTAATGAATCAAACATCGATACTCTAACAGACACGAATAGATGATTCATGCATGCATAAGGCAATAACAAATTATAAATAATAAATCATGATAAAAAAGACATATAATATACTAATCTAACACGATTCTCATTTATTAATATAAATATAAATATATATAGGCTTGTTTACACCATAAAATTTGTCGTGTACTACATTGGTGAATTACAAGATAATCAATGAGTTTATAAGTCCACACCCATTATAACAATTAATATTGTTTAAGTTGGGCCTTATGGATATTGATTTTAATCCCAAGACGCTAACTCTGGAGAGTGATATGTCGCCTCAGCGAAGAGGGCCATGTCCATCTAAAATCTAGAAGCATGTGTCGCCTCATGAAGAGGGCCATGTCCATCTAGAAATCGAGGAGCACATGCCGCCCAAGATCAAGACTGAATGACTGAAAAATAAACTAAGTCTGGAAGAGGTACATGCCGCTTTAAGGAGAAGCACGTGTCATCTCGCTTCACGAGAAGAGGCTTAGGCATGATTGAAAAACTAAGTATGAGAAAGTCATGCCATCTCAAGAGAAGAGCCATGTGCATGATTGGGAGATCCATGGCCATGTCACGAGAGGGACCATGGACGCAAGGCCGCGAATCACACTTCAAAGAAGACAAAGATATTTGAAGTGTGGAGAAGGACTTGTCGCTTCAACGAGGAGGGTCATGTGCACGATTGAGAGGTCCATGTTGCCTCATGAGAGGGACCATGGACACAAATAAAAAGGGTGTGGTGATGGAACATTATATCACTAGTGAATCTGTCTCAAGAGGTCCATGACCGTTATACAAGAAGGCCATGGACATGAGTAAGAAGTTCATGGCCGTAAGACAAGAAGGCCATGGACATGTTCTTACGGCCTGGATATGAGTAAGAAGTCCATGGCCGCGAGGCAAGAAGACCACGACCCCCTTTGTGAGACACCACATGCTTATCAAAAGATTAGCATGACACGAGATTCAGAACAAGACCAGGCGAGGCAAGCTACACGCCAAGACCCACGACGGTTACAAAAGAGGCCCCTAGGCGGTTGAAGAGTAACCACCACTCCGAAGAAGCAGGGAGCGGTTCTTTTTGGGAGTTATCCAAGAGGCGGTTTTCTACCGAAGAAGGGGGAGCGGTTCTTTGTAGCAGTTATCCAACAACCGGTTTTCTATGGCGGTTATCTCCTCGTGGCTATAAATAAGAGGAGGGGTAGACAGAGACAAAGGGTTCCACAACCAAACAACTGACGCATACGTCAAGTTTTTATCCTTTCTCTGCAAATATAGCCATAGTCGTAGTTTGGAGCTCTCGTTGAACCTCCATAGGAGTATGATTAATTTAATTTAGATTTGTTCCTAAACACCATCAATCAAACATTCTCGTTCGAACTTTGTTTGAAGAGGTGTGAGCCGTGTCTTAGTAGTCGTTGTCCAAAGAAGTCAAATGTGCAATCAATCTCAATTCAACGCAAGAAGTTTTCTCGCGAAAAAACAAGGCTATATAGCGGTTGAAATAGCTAAGCTTTATCATGAGTAACTTTCCATCTCTTGCGACCACCAAGAAGCTGAATACAAACTAATGCTTACTAGATATTTCACCCGCGCTCTGCGTCGGGAGTTGCAAACTATGAACTTAGTTATCGGGCAATAAACAAATTAACTGTGTGCGAAAAGTTATCAGTACCGAAATTAGAACATAAATCAGTCAAAGAGAGGTTACATTTTGAACCTCCTGCAATATTTTGACACGGTATGCTGGTTTCCATACAAATTATTATACACCTACTGTCCATTCCTCCCATTGACATTTCATACAAATTAGCTTTAACCATCGTGACACATCACAAAAGGAGTAACAATCGTGAAAGCCATAATAGCCTATCCAAATACAACTTGAATGTATAATTCTATGCACAAACTTTGTCGAGGAGATCAGTACACATATGCAAACTTCTGCTGCACTTAAGGCAACAAAAGGAAACGAAGTCAGAGACATAAAACATAATAGTATAGATGAAGAACAAAGTCATTTCATGTCTTTCTAAACAACATAATCCCCATTGCAACATATTTGGAATTGAAATAAGGATGAAGAAAAAGGATATGATCAGAGCAGTCACTTGGGCGCAATGAAACAGTAAATAAATATCAAGATTATCTTTTCTTACCCATGTTCAGCCAAGATGAACTTGCAACCATTATATATGATGGCAACGAAAAGAGCTTACAAATAAACAGCTGAAAGACTTTAATAGTTCAATAGTAGTAAGATAGAGAGCATTAGCATACCCAGCCATAGAATAGAGAAAAAAACTCAATGAGAGAAAGTCATAAAAAGGATACTACATGTAAGGAAATGTTCAGGGAACTCATGGATCCATAATATCAAGCCAGATTCCTAGTCGTTGAGAATAATTCAAGCAAATAGACAATTTCCCATTTCATCAATCCCTGGTTACCTCTGAGGAGAGGCAAATGATGACTACTGCTGAAGTCTATTAGATCTGAAAGATCACTTCAAACCCCTCCACCATTTTTTCCCCTCATACTGCAGGAGATGACATCAAAGAAAGATTTGTCGTACATTTCAGATCCTCCCTCGAACATTTGTAACTGATAAAGAGAGAACAAAATATCATTTAAAAGATAGATATGAGCGATAAAGAACAAAACACAAAGCAAAATAAAGGAAACACCCCAGAAATTACCCACGCAGCACCACAAAGAAGTATGACTATCAGTTCTTGGGCTCCCATTCTATCAATCTCGCTCGCTGGTTCTACTGGTTTGAAATGCAACCAACCACCACCTTTTCTAGCGATCTAAAACCCCCATCTGCAAGCTAATAAACCCAAAACAACAATGTTCCATGTTTCCTAACCCACCACAGAAACTCGAGGATTCCTTTAATTCTGGTGAAACATCATAAGAAACCACTAAGCAATCAATCCCGGTGCAGTTGTGGCTGACACGCCAAAAGCCTACCGATCCTTGCCGACTTCTAAGGAATCGAATCTATTATTCTACTGATCATTCCCGGCTCCAACCACAATGTCTGCGACAACAACAGATCCATTGATCTACCATCGCGATTCTCTTAAAGCATCAATTTAAAAAGGCTTTGGGTCGACAAATCCATAACACTACAAAGAGCAGTGAGCATAACGATTGGGGCCACCCAAGTCAATAAAAAAAGGAAAAGAGAAATAGAAAAATAATTTTGGAGATGGAAAGCTCACCGGTTGATCCCATTACTTCATCGACCTCAGCCAACAGTTGCTCACTGATTCTCTCTATCGGTGTAAGCTGAATAAAAAGACATACAGAAGTGAGCTGGGAGGAATCTGTCCAAGCGAAATGGCAAAGCGATTGAGAACGACTTACTAAAGGATTTTGCATGTAGACACAAAAGCAGATGCAGGGTACTGACGCCGTCGATTTCTCTTTGCAGCGAGCCCAATCTTTGTGCTCTCTCTATGCATTCAGTGCATTCTTCTCCGGGACCCTCGTATCCTACACCTAATCGATTCGAGATAGATCTCCCAAACTGATATGCGAAAAGCCAACACATACACAAAATAAGTTAGAGAGAAAGAGAGGGGAAAAGATAATGAGTCGCTGGAAATAAGAGATGAATCCCCTCATAGCAAACCCATCGAAGAGAGATAATGAGACTATTAGAGAGTGACATAGAGAAACTGCAAAAAGAGGAAAGCAAACACCAGACCTCTCAGTTTTGTCCATTGATTGCAGCATATCTCGTTAATGTGACTCTTCTCCGAAGGCTCACCAAACTTCCGAAACCCACAGCTCGAGGAAAATCGGAACCCAGTGTTTAATACCTACCAGCGAAAGGCGGAGAAAAGAGAAAGACATACCCATTTACTTTACGTTTATACCAAAACAAAATAAGCGACTCACAGAGAGCAAACAAACCAGCACAAGAAAACTCGCCATAAAAATCGGTTCGGTGCCCATCTCGAGATAATAGGGAAAATGAGATCTGAGTGTGATACAAAGATTTAGTCGGCAAAACTTTAGTGAGGAATTGATCGGCGTCGAGATTCCGAGGAGAGGGAGAATGGGAGCTGCTTGAGAGCCTTCCATGAGGGAGAAAGAGTTCACAAAGTAAGATAGAAAGAGAATGGAAAAAGGTAAAAGGAAAATAAGGGAGGAGAAGTGTGGCAGGGAAGTGGAATGGAGTTTGGTGGAACGTGTGGTGGAGGGTAGAGCAACGTAATGGGCAGCCTGGCAGAGCGAGAGCAGGGAGAGAGAAGCACACATCAGTCATCTTTTTTCAGCTCGAGACCTGCATTCTAGCTCTCTGCGTTTGCACTTCAGGGTGACATCAAATCACTTCCCACCTTCAAGAGCAACCAACAGGAAAAGAGCAGAGATAGAGAGGAAAGGAACAGAGCCGGGGCGAGGGTGCAGAGCAATCAAGAGAGAGCGGTGAAGGGAACAATCAGGGAGAGAGGAGCAAAATTTGTCAGACACTTGAGGCCGGCGCGATCTCCCAAAGAATGCAGGCCGAGCAGTAGAGAGAAAAACGGAGTGGGCAGAACAGAAAGGAAACGACGGCACAAGGGGCCCACGCAGCGAGCTGAAGCACTCCCGGACCCATCCTGCCAGCGCAGCCAATCAGCGTTGAATGAATAGTAGAATGTGCCTAGGTGAACAGTAAGCTGAGTCTGGGGCTACAGTGATAGGTTGTTTGTGCGATTAACTCTTCTTAATATAATAATACATAAACCAGCTGCTACGTACAATTGTAGCCTTGGTTATATAATTGTGGTACTGTTGTGCATCTACAAGGATCGAGCCCAGGCCTCTACCCAAAATGCCTACGCCACCTAATTTCTTCTTAGCCTTCATACATATAATAATAGTAGAAGTGTTCATAATAATAATTATTCTCATTATTCTTATTAGAATTATTATTGTTGTTGTTGTTATCATAATTATCAGTGGCCGTTCCAGAGCCAAATGGCGCCGGCGGACATGAGCATGGGAGCGAGGCGGTTCTTGATCTGCAGGCTCATGACCTGCTTCTCCCCGCCGACGAACCGCTGCCCGATGAACACCGCCGGCACGGTCGGCCGGCAGCCCAGCTGCTCCACCAGCGCCCGCTCCACGGCCTCGCCTTCGGGTCCCATCTCGTCTAGCTCGTAGACGGTCGGGTTCGCCCCGTACCCGCTGATCAGGGCCTTGATGGAGTGGCACATGTCGCACGTGCTCCGGCTGAATATCACCGCCGCCTTGTCCCCGACCAACCTCGTTATCACCTCCATTGCTGTTTTGTTTTTGTCGGGCTCGATCGACTTTGGAAATTAAGGTTGTGTGTTGCTTGCTTTGAGAATTGAATTACCCAGATCAGATGGAAGGTTGTATTTATAGCTGGTTGAGATGGAATGGAGATGAGTACGTACGTACGTACATGAGCGCGCGGCGTCGATTATGGTCACTACTGTTACGGTTTTTATTCTTTCGTACCCCCGCACCCAAAACCGAAAGGAGGATATAATAATATTATTAGATTTTGGCCTTTCACGAGAATGACGGTTTAAAAGGAATAAAATTTTATTCCATGGATTTCCGAATTGAGTAAATTGATCCAATTGTCGTTTGGATGAGTTATTCGTATGAGTTATTTGGGGTAGACGAAGACTAGCCCAAGACTGGGTGGTGCGTCTTTGCCATACTTACCGGGAGGGGAATAGAGTCGCGGACTGGCTCTCGAAGCACAGTCTCGTCTATCCCTATGGGAAGTATGAATTAGACACACCCCCGGAAGCTCTTCAGGCCATTATTGGAGATGATATGAGAGGGCAATCTTTCCCTAGGAATGTGGTGTTGGAAACTCCAGAGACCCATACCTTGTTGTAATCTAGGCACTCCCCCTCCCCCCTTGTAACCCCTTCTTTTCTTCGGCCTTGTGCCTCCCCTGCTGCAAAAAAAAATGAGTTATTTGGGGTGCAATAACTAGTTTTGTCTACAAAAGTTGGTGATGAGTTATTTGTACTTGAGTTGATTTGAAATAACTCATTAATGAGTTATTGTCAATACCTCGTAGGGGTGGTACTTATTGTGCAAATAACTCACGAATACCACATTCTCATTTTGTGAGGAATTCCACTTTTATATTAACTCGTTACACAACAACTCATCCAACCGACCCCATAATATCATTTCGAACTCATAATTGCCTCACAAAAATGATGCAAAATGAGGCATTTTGAAATGCCTCGTTCTAACTGTTGCATCTCCATTTTTGTGTTGTGAAACCGAGTCTATTTGACCTAATTGCTTCATTACGAGACAATTTGGCCAAATTGCTTCATCATAAAATGACCCCCTTCTTTTAGCGCGTTGCATTGCCTTCAATAAATGACGTGTGCCAATTTGTGATTCTGGGCGCTGTTCATACATAGTTAGAGAGAGTGGACCTGTGTGACTTTGTAAGAAAGTGGTTAAAATCAATAAATGTATATCCCTTCCAACAATTTGAGTTATTGGAACCAGTTGGTTTGTGACATGATATCAGGCATGGCTTGTACTTTGAGGTTACGTGTTTAAGTCCTCACGATATCCCTTAGCTATTATTAACCTTTCGTCTTAAATCATCACATGGTATGACGGACACACGCAAACTTCACGCCCATAACAGGGAGCATGTAAGAAAGTGATTAACAGGGGTGGAGCTAGCTTAGTCATCGGGGAGGCCCCGGCCCCCCCGAGAATTTTGGAGTTCACGCATAAACGGTTGGGTATTTTACGTATAAATATTAAAACCTATATAAATAAGTTGAGAGTGCACGAAAATAGCAAACCAACTTTCTTAGTCTAGCGGTGTAAGAGTCCTTAAACAAGGTAGAGATTCTGTGTTCGATACCTTGTGCTAGCTAGTAGCAACAACATTTTTTGGGAGCAGAAGCACTTTTTGTACTTTATTTCATATAAAAGTTTTTATTTAACATATTTCTTAACTGTTCTGTCTTTTGAATTCTTTTAATTTTTTAAACTAACTAGAGTTTCAGTTTTCATTTGACAAAACAAGTAAATTAAATAATTTACTTTCATTTTTAGTTTGTTAAGTCCTTAAATTCCAATTAGAACAAAATTCTTCAATTTGAAGGATTGTTTTCTAATAAAAGATAATTATTTCAATACTAATTTTGACAGACATCAATTTTTTAGTTATGAAAATATAATTTTCTATACAATATTAACATTCATTGTTACCTTTTTATAGCTTTGTAATTTGTATTGAACTGAATGTGAAAACATTGTTAGTATAACTTCTATTTTGAATTATCTTAATAATGTCAAACAAGATCTTGTGCAATTATAGAATTATAAAATTTAACAATTTTAAAATTATAATGTCATACAAATAAAATAAGAATTTTGAATATCTCAGATTTTTTATATGATTAGTATAATATAATTTTTAAACTTTTTTAGATTTTTTGCGATAACATAGTAAGAAAAGCTCGGCCCCCCCGAGCCTCAAATCCTGGCTCCGCCCCTGGTGATTAAGATCTATATATTGATATCTACAAACAACACGAGTTATTAATACCATTTGGTTTGTTATAGACTTTTCCTTAAAATATTTCTGCACAATTTTTTTTTTTTTGGAGATGATGATTGGTACGAGAGTGAGTCCCACTAGATAGGTAGGGTATATATTGGAGGGGTCGGGGGGACCTTTGCATTGTCGAGTTGAGATCAATAGCAAATGGATGCAAGCAAAGCAAGAGGAATAAGAATTAGATCATAAAAAGGCATCAGCAAGTGCTTATCTGGAATATTAATGAGCAAAACGTGAGGACACTATTATATATGTGCACCACATATTAATTTTCTTATAATATATTCATGTGGTAGAGGTAGCCTCAAACTAAAAAAAGATATAAATTAATTTACCCGATATGTGCAAAATCTTAAACAAAAGTGCTATTTTCACAAAGTCTAAATCTTATATCAATCGGCCTAGCTAGTGGAGAGTCTCAAGCAAGCGGTTCTGAGTTCGATCCCCAACAATACCGATGGTCGTTGGAGTAACACTTGTTAATGGTAGACAACATATATATATCGGTAGTGCCGCCGCGGAATTGGGATAGATAGTTTCGAGATGTGTGAGGTTCTGATGAGTTCGATGCCTCTCGAAGCATGTGAACCCCAATTTTGGTCTCGCTCTACATCACAAAATCAAAATGTGATGTGGTGTGCGGGAATGTTCCCGGATAATAAAAAAAAAATCTTATATCACACAGGAATTTATGCAAAGCATTAGAGGAGAGTTCTTCTCGGACTAGATATTTGGGGAGCTCAGCTCGCCGCAGACCAGTAGCATCTATTCTTGATCGTTAATTAAATTGGTCTTGTTTTTTTGAGTGTCCGGTCTCGAAGGCATTGTGGGATCACACCGGGCTTGCCGATCTTGGTCAGGGTCTGCCTAAGCACACGTTCCCTCTCTTCCTGAAAAAGTTGATGGGTTTGATCCATCAACAGCATATGTTCATCGCTGTGGTGGCGGTCCTGTGGAGGATTTGGCGATCCAGAAATTGGGTTGTCTTTGAGGGTAAACAATTTGGAATCCCGGCCCTCCTGCGGCAGTTTCAGCAGCAATACCAGGAATGGGTTAATCTACCGCCAGCAGGTGTGCCTAGGCTTTCCACCCCTCTGACTGAGCCCGTTGTGGGGGGTCATCCCTCTAGGGTGGTGTGTCAGTGGGATGGGGCTACAAGGCGAGGCTCGCATTCAGCTGGTGGAATGGTTATCAGGGATCCGGGTGGACAGGTGCTTATGGTTCAGGGGGTTCAGTTTGTTGGAGTGGATGATCCCATAGTCATTGAATCGCTAGTGCTTAGGGAGGCGATTATCTGGTGTTTATCCCATGGCTTCTCGGTGGTTTGCTTTGAAGGTGATGCCAAGGTGGTAATTGATAAGATCAATCAAGTGAGCACTCGGGATAATCGGATTGGTGCCATTCTGGAAGAGATCGTGGGGTTTTTTACGCTTCATTCAGGGCTTAGTGTGCGATTTGTCGGTCGGAGTAGTAATAGGGTAGCCCATTTGGTGGCTAGAAGGGCCCTTACTTTGTACCCGGCTTCATGTCACAATTTTAATTTCGCTGCTTGGTTAAATTCCAGGTTGTAATGATCTTTGTTCAATCTATATATGATTATCTTTTGTAAAAAAAAAATACTTTTAACCCCAAGGCCCAAACCACCTTTCCTCTCTCAGTTTGGACTATGATGCGACGATGAAGGAAAATAAGAATAATATAAATAATCATTAACGTGAAAATGTCAAATAGTTGTATAAAAAATATGTGAATTTGATAATATATAGAAGCATTAGTTTTTTATTTTATTTATTACTGAAGTTAAACCAACTAATTTGACAACAACAAAAAGTTAAAACAGGCGAACCAACCTGGTCCAAAACTAAGTAACTTACATACCGTTTGGTATAAATGAATTCCATAAGTTTTGAGGAATTCGTTTTGAAATGAAACATTTTTGTGTTTGGTATTTAAAAGAATTCATTTTCAATTCTAAATTTTGAATCATATGGAATTGGTACTAGTTATGGCAATTCCGAGGAATTGAGATGGAATTTCCAAATGAATTCCACAACTATTTACTAATTATAATAGAATGATATAATTATCCTCTTTATAACTAAATTACTTATATATATGATATACCAAATACCGGAATTCATTTGACAATGAATTCTACACGACAATTCATTATATTTTTAAAGATTTGAATATGACATACCAAACACAAGATTTCATTTGACAATGAATTCTACACGGTAACTCATTTTACAATGAAATGAATTCTTGATTCATTTTATACCAAACGGTTTGTTAGGGTTGTTTGGAAGTTGTGATTATTAAATATGTGTTGTTGTGAATGCATGTACAATATTATTCATGTATTGGCAAATTTGATGCATTGTAAAATTCAATGTTTGGTATGTGTTATTTTGCATGTCACATAAGCCAAAAGTTTAAATAAAATATATCAATTCAACTATCTCAACAATCTCAGTTTTTAAAATTCAACGTTTGGTATGTGTGATTGTGTATGTGCAAATTATTTTTTTATAAAAATGATACATTCTAAACAATTTAAGTATAATAACAATCTCACGAAAACAATGGGATCATTACGAGCCCAATTGTGTCACTTGCTTTGGTTGAATTGCCACCTACTGCAAAAAAAAGTGATTGTCCAGAATCCCACTTTATTCTCAGTAGATCTTGTGCGGTTATTTGAATGGCCGAACTAATAAAAGGCTTTAATTGATTTGATAGGAAATTCCCAGATTTCGCACATATTCATTCTATCCCCCTAGTTATTAGTATCATTCTAATCTGCTGGACGGTGAAGACTTAAAACGTTTTAGATGAGCTTTCAGCATATGGATTTTGATTTGGATGCATTATCCCACAAGAACCCTAACTTTTCGCATCTATCAGCTTAAACCTGATCATTGATCACCAAGTAGACAAGATATTGACAAATTGACATTAGTAGTATATATAATATACCACAGAATGAACGGATGCTAAATTAATTCCAGAACATTGCAAATTTGCACTCTTGGCAGCCGATCTACAAATGCGACGATGAATCCTTCATCGCTTAAAGCATAAGCGATGAACGTGGATCGCTGGTTTTGCAAGCAATCAACGGTTGGATCGCGCCATTTGGGGAATTCGTGCTTCATAACTATACCAACATAGTATCAGGCATGAATGGTCATTATATATATAAGTTTGTATCATGGTGTTATATTTACAGACCATCGATGTACATGATAGTATCAAGTAGTGCATGAAGAAATTATTTATATCGTAATAAATTTTTATTTTAAAGTTTACCAAAGTTTGTATCATTTTGTAACTACAATTAAGTTGAACTTATTGAAAAAAAATGGAATAAAATTAATCAACTAGGTTAATGCTCAGAGCCAGAAACTTAGAAATAGAGACATTGAAGATGTTTGCTTTAGTTTGATGTCTAGGTATAAACTCACGTGCTTAATTGTTATCAATTTTCTTTCAGGTTTATTTTTTGCAAAGAAACTCTTTTGGTTTGACTTATTGTTTAATATGTAATGGCTGAAAAGTTTAGCTTTATTAATTATTTGAAAGGATGAAGATCAAATTCAATATATATGCACTTTTATATCTTAGAAAAATTATCAAAAGTATATTTCATTTAATAAAAAAAAATACTAAGTTGAATGTAAGGAATATTTTAATGGTTGCATCTCACATAATTTGGTCTTGTGATGTAATAGTGTAAATTTTAATGTTCGATAATTAATAGATCAAACTATATAGTTTCACTATACTGACTTGAGAATATACGGTTGTTGGTATAGGGGGGAAGACAATATGAATAGGCTATTAGGGGTTTAGATATATGACAAAAATTAGACAAATAATATTTTAGAGAATGTTTATCATAAATATCCTCTGAAACATTTTTATTTGGAGTTTGAAAAAATTGGGTTCAGAGTTTAATGTTCTCTATGTAGGCTCTTAGTGGATAATGGCTAAATATCCTAAAATTTAATGTATTCTTTCTAGAAGATTGAGTTGAGAGTTAGGAGTTAAAGGTTAGGTATTGATTTTGTTTTGTTTTGTTTTGTTATGTTTTATTGTTGATAATGTGATTCTATGGTTGAATAATATAATTGGCAATTATTGGGTTCAGAATTTGATGTATTAA